AAGTCAGCCAGCCAGTCAGTCAGACAGATGTTCAGCCAGTCAGTCAGTCACTCAGCAAGTTTGTCTTTGAAACAATTTAGTACAATGTTATTCGACCAATCAAACACAAGCATTGCTTCATCCCCCGCCTCTTGCTGTAAGATCATTGGACAAACACGCTGACAGTTATTCACCCAATGGGAGAGCCCTACCTGAGCCAGTAAAGAACCTAATTATTTCAAACTCAGATCACAGAGTGGTTTAATATTACAGACAGCACACAGTTAGTGAACTTTCTCTCATTTTTTACACTTTCTATCGGTCTAACCTTGAGTACTTCATACACCCTTCCTCTCATCAGCTCCCATTCTGCACTCTCTCTCTCTCTCTCTCTCTCTCTCTCTCTCTCTGCGTGAACGCAACCACTAATTGGCACAATTATGGCAGATAAGAGACTGAAGTAACACTGATGTCAAGCTCGCCCAGAGAGAAAGAAAAAAAGATTGAGATAGATAGTAATAGAGAGAGAGAGAAAGAGAGACAGAGACAAAGAGACAGAGAAAGAAATACATAAAGTGAGGGAGGTAGGGATAGAGGGAGAGAAAGATAAGTTATTGAAAACTAGAACGGTTAATACTAGGACTGTTTATCTAATTTCCGTTCTAATCTGTAACAATGTGTTCATAACCTGAGGGACACACACATAAATTACCCCTCATGTAATTGGTAAATTATGTTTTGTCTGGGTAGAGATTATGACATGGAGAGAAAGGGCTATTTCTAAAAATACACACAAGATTGAGAGAGAGAGAAAAAGAGAGAGAGAGAGACAGACAGACAGACAGACAGACAGACAGACAGACAGACAGACAGACAGACAGACAGACAGATAGACAGGATAGGAATGAGAAGAGGGAGAGAGATGAGAGGGAGGGAGCAAGAGAGAGAGAGCGAGAGTGACAGACAGACAGACAGACAGACAGAGGAGGCGGAACGAGAAGAGGGAGAGAGGGAGAGAGGGAGATGAGAGGGAGGGAGTGAGACATAAAGAGCGAGAGAGAGTCTTTTATCACTAGGATGGAGGGATGATGGCAGTCCTCTAAGATGTAAATTCTGCTTTGTTACTAATAAATTATCAACAACCATTTTAAATGAACACTAACTTTAAAATATAAAGTATTACTTGCCAAAATAAAGAAGCTAATTAAGTCTTGATAGTGTTGCAAATAATTTAATTATAGATGTAAACATCTGATAATATAAAACCACAGAATGATAAAGCTTAGAGAACATGTATTCCACAAAGCATGAATAACTTTCTTTCTTAACAGAACAAACCTCTGGCTTGAAGCAATGTCTTCAAAGAATGAACAAAAGTGACAGAAGTAAAAGATCGCTTTAGACATTTTTAGCTTAGTTAGCAAGCTAGCATTATGGGCCAATCTTGATACAGGGAGGCTTGACATTTGGTTGCTAGGCAACCACGATAAATTGGATTGCTAAGTACAAAGTGAACACAGGTAGCATCTGTAATGTCTGTGATGGACTCAGATAAATACACAGCCATTGATGAAATCACAGGGCTTTATTGACACTAGCTAATGAATCTATCTATCTACTAACGGAAAGGATATACATATATTTGTTTATTTTTTTCTAGGCACAATTCAGCTTGTTTATTTTAATGGGATTGTATGTGTGCTATAAGTGGATGCTTAAATCTTTATTGTGTTTGTTTAATAATGATTGAGAATCCTTGAGAATAATGATTGGATAATAAAAACAACCAAGTAACATTTCCTTGGTCTGATTTTATCCTTTTTAATTCAGATTTTGTATTGTTAACTTGTTTCTACTGATTTAGTAGTGAGTAGAATTTGGAATAAGACCTGAATAGTAGAATCTCAACCTGAAGGTTTCTGGTTCAAATCCTCTGGTTAGGAGCTCGCCTATAGCCAAAGTGCCCAAATCAGCCCTAACTGTATCAGTAATGGAAGCTGGTCTCAGTCTCCCTGCAGACTATAGACTCATTCTAAATATATACGCTGTGTTTTGAGTAAAGTATTCAGGTCAAAGTCACTCATAGTTCTAATTTTCCTCGCCGGAGGCAGGGAATTGTACATTCATGTCTATTTTTCATGCATGGATAGCCTGGCTACGGTGGCTGCGTGGGCACACTTGTTTTCCCATTTGCTTCTCAACCTCCCGCCCCCTGACCCGTACAAATTACACACTGATTGGATTGGCTGAGATCCAATCAAATCAGGATCTCTGATATGACTAGATTAAGTTGTAGGCACACACAAGCACACACACACAGACACACACAGACATGCACACAGGCACACACACACACACACACACACACACACACACACACACACACACACACACACACACACACACACACACACACACATAAATTCATAATCACACACACTGATACATACCCAACACACACACTACCCACGTTTTGCTAGCAGGCCGGTCTATTGCGTACATCACCTATTTCAGATTTTCAGCTCACAACATCCAGCATAAAGGCACTTGGGTTCTGCTTTAGTATAGATTACTAGACAAGTTGAAGTAGGCCAGGCATCAAGCTCACGTCAGATGCCCTCATGTGATGATGTCACCCTTCAACACGTTCAACACACATGATTTACTGAAAATATTCACCCAACTCAAATGAAAACTAGAACAAAACTATTTGTTCTCTGCCTCTCTTGTCAGCTTTGGATAAAAGCGTCTGCTGGATGACTAAATAATAAATGAAGGACTAACTTCAGGATGCAGGACTAACTTCTTTTTCATTTAAATCTATAGGCGTGAACTACAAACGCCACGGTCGGGAGGTGACCGCGGCGGCGGTGGCGGCGACGTTGGGTTCGTCGTCATGGTTACCTACCCCGTTGGCGCGGCTGATGGCCTGGTAGTAGACGCTGTAGCTCTTGGCCGGCGAGAGGGGGGGGTTGGAGAAGCCCCCGTAGCTCTTGTTGTCGCCCACGGTAAAGGCGGTGGGCGCCGTCATGCTGGAGGAGGGCAGCTCAGCCGCCATGTAGTACGCCGAGTCCAGTGCCGAGGCGTTCCGGAAGCTGACCGGAGCGGAGAAACAGGCGGGACCGTTGGTACCGTCACCGGCGGCCCGGCGAGATTTGGACTTACGCTCCTCCTTCACCACCAGCTGGTAGGAGCTGGAAACACAAGAAAAGACACAATTATTGGTATTGGTGTGTACGATTCAGTCACTTTAACATACTTTTACATGCATGTCATTAAGGAGCATGTAAGGGTCAAACACTCAAAAATAAGATTTACAATTTAAATACAAAATGAACATTATAGATTCAAAAATCTGAATGAATACGGTGTGTGTGTGTCAATAATTTGTGATTTGATGATACACTTGCGCTTGTTTGTTTGTATGTGTCATATGTATCAATGTGAAATCTTTGTGTTGTGAGGTGTATGTGTGTGTGTGTGTGTGTGTGTGTGTGTGTGCGCGTGCATGTGATTGCATTTACGTGCATGTGTGTGTATATGTGTGCATGTGTGTGTGTGTGTGTGTGTGTGTGTGTGTGTTTCATGGCTAAATGGAGATGGTGTTGTGAGGTCCTTCATCCTCCTCAGACCGGTCCTCACATCGACACATAATCAGGAAAGTGTGTTTCAGCCAATTATCCCCCAGCCGATTGGCCGCTTTCAGAAAACATAAAAAAACATAAAAGAGATAATTACTGATGACCAAAGAACGTACCCACGCCTCCCACCTCTCTCTCTATTCTCATCCTCTCATGCTTATCTCTCCTGCCTCTCTCTCTCTCTCTCTCTCTCATTTCTACTCTCTCTTTCGATCCTCCTCGCTCTTGTTCATGTTCTCTTTCTCTCTCTCCTTCTCTTCCTCTCCCTCCCCCCTCTCTCACTTCCAATCTCTTTTTTTATCTCCATCTCTCTCCCCCTTTCTCTCTCCCTAGGTCTCTCTCCCCCCCGCTTTCTCTCTGTCTCTTCCCATGTCTCTTGCCCCCCTGGTGAGAATCTATATCAGACTAATGGTGTTAAGATGCAACAGCCAGTAAACTACAGCACAGAGGGGACGGGCCCACAATTACCTTAAAGCATTAATGAGTGTGTGTGTGTGTGTGTAGAGTGTGTGTGTGTGTGTGTGTGTGTGTGTGTGTGTATAAGTGCCTGTGCATATGTGGAGAAGTGTGCTTATGTGTACATTTTGGTTTCATCAATGTTGTATGAATGGATGCAAATGTGTCTGTGTCTGTGTGCATGGGTTATTAAGCATGTGTGTTAGTATTCATGTTTGCATATGTCTGTTTACATATGCATGTTTGCATTAGCGGAAATGCCAATGCCCATGAATACATTTAGAGGCTCATGTATAACTATGCACACAGGTCTGCATGAGTGTGTGTATCTATGTGTGTGTGTGTGTGTGTGTGTGTGTGTGTGTGTGTGTGTGTGTATGTGTGTGTTTAGACCATCCTCTCTAAGTGTCCCTCTCTGAGCTCCAGAAGGGCTCTTAGCTCATTAAAGAGTAAGCCTGAAATCCAGCTCTTCTCTCCAAAGTTCAGCTCACATTAAAACGTGTACGCTTCCTCCGAGATCCACTCCCACCCTGCCTAATAAAACAGAATGTTTATCCTCACCTTGGCTAATTGTGTTCAAATCAACTTAAAAGTCAGGCTGAGACCAATTAAAACATGTACGATCAATATGTGAGCAACTCTAAGTTTGATGAACTAGAATTATTAACAACAATAATAACTTAGTGATGCAACAGACTGAAAGTGTGTCATGAAGGAGCAGGTAGGTGGTTAGGGCATCTTCGTAAATAGCAAATGGACTGCATTTATATCATGCCGTTTTAACCTGTTTGCCCACTCAGTGCTTTACAATTACTGCCTCACACATACACACGTTGATACACCGACGGCAAGGCAACAGCCAGCTCATCAGAGTAGTTGTTAGCAGTTAGGGTTAGGTGTTTTTCTCAGGGAAACCTCAACACCTGGCTATGTGGAGCCGGGAATCGAACCAGCAACCTTACGGTGGCCAGACCACCTGCTCTACCTCCTGAGCCACTGCCACCCCATCTTGTTCTCCTACACTGCAGTTTAGGGCTGCGGACACTGGGCATCGAAACCCAATCCAGGATCGCCTAACCTGACCTAACCTGACAATCCTGCCAGATGGGAGTGCAGGACAGCTGAAGGAATCAGGTGTAATATGATGTGTAGGTCTAATAAAGGAATAGCAACAGAAGAGAGAGACTGGGAGAGCAGCAGGTCTCCCCTCACGGCTTTATGGAAACAACATCCATTATATTTTAGTTTGATATTTTCACCAAGCCAGGCGTGATCAGCTGTACCCTGAGGAGGTTTTGGAAAATGAACGGTGAACTTACGACCCCCTGCTCGCAGCGGCTTTTAAAAACTCATTTATTAGACGGCAAGTTGACACTACACGTGCCCTCCCTCCCACTCCCCGTCCAACCACAGAATTATGTTCTCCCCGATGCCAATTAAATGGATGGAAACACACGTTCAAAGTGAACTTTTAATTAATACGCACTCTGACTTAAACAATGTGTGCCCTTTCAGAGGGAAAAACCAACATGTGTGCGTTTGCGTGTGTGTGTGTGTTTATGTGGTTTGTGTGTGCTTGTGTTTGCACTGTACCCACATAACAGATTGCGTGTGTGTGTGTGTGTGTGTGTCCATGCACGTGTGCGTAGTTTAGTCACTACACGTGCATGGACACACATGCACGGCGTACGTCAGTGTATTTGTGTGCACATCATTCGTCAACTTCGATGTCAAAATGTCCCCAGAAATACGTATCCTCAAAAAGCTGTTCTTTTTTAACTCAGTGTGTCAACAAGCCGTTGGAGGATAATCTCCACCTCCTCCTAAAGCCGCTAAGCAGCATTTTCCAAGTCAGCGGACAGGAAGTATCAAATTACTGACAGGAAGTCAAGCTTGTCAAGCTTGTTACCTCTGCCACCCTCATCTCAACAACCGCACAAGCATATAAAGTAAGAGTGATGGTAATAAAAAGTGATGAGAGGAGAGGAGAGGAGAGGAAAGGAGAGGAGAGGAGAGGAGAGGAGAGGAGAGGAAGAGAAGGACGAGGAGTGCAGGGGTGCAGATTGGACTACAGGTGAGGAAAGAGAAGTAAAGAGATAAGCAGAGGTGAACCGACAGATGGGTGGAAGCAGGAAGTGATGTCATTGGGCGTACCTGACAGGTGCTCCGCGTGATTGGGCGGGCTTCAGCAGCAGGGTGATCGTGGTCTCCGTCTCGTTCAGCGGAGCCTCAGACTCGTACTCCGGCATCAGAGGGGCTGATGGGAACATAAACACGTAACAGACAAGTATGACACCACAGTACTTCACAGGATGACATCACAGAATGACATTGCGGTGTGACATCACATGATTACATCACAGGGTGACCTCACAGTATGACATCATTGTGTGACATCAAGGCGTAACATCACATTAAGTCATCCCATTGGGATATTGCCTGGAGACGTTGTAGTGTGACATCACATTATGACATCACAGCAGCAGTGGTAATCTGTTACCACCCATAAGACATTGCAGGTTAGAGTTTTATTTTATTTTATTGTATTATTTGTATTACCATGGATATTCATTTTACTACTGTAGCTCCATTTCAGTTTTGACAACGTGTATATAGATTTTCCCATGAGCTTTGTGACAATGAAATGTACATAGTTTTATCTGCGTTGTGAAAACGAATGCCGCGTCAGTAATCTCTTCCCTTTTTTTCTTTCTCCTCGTGATGCGGTTATGAATTTTATACACTCCCTGGGTTTTTTCTATTTTTTTTTTTATAATAAGGTTGTCCTTGTTGCGAGAGTGCTGCGGTAATGCTCTCATCCTCAGGTGAGTTAGGGACCATCATAAAGTGCTTGGAGACAGTGCTCCTTAGGCACCTTTAAAAGCACCCAGCCGCTGCAGAGTGCGTCTGCTCACGCCACCACAGCCAAACAAATTGATGTGGCATTTAGGACAATCACACGATAGTCAAACACCTCCTCCCTCCTGCTCCTCCTCCTCATCCTCCTCATCCTCCTCATCCTCCTCCTTCAATCACTCCCCTCCGTCTGTCTCTCCCTCTGTCAACTCCATTTAATTTATCTTTTTAATCCTTTGTTCTCGGGGGGGGGGAGATAATGAAGATAGGGGCTGGCGTGGCATTTAGGCGGGAAAGACAAGGAAGATGCAACACAACTCATTTATTTATTTATTTATAATTCACAGTCGCTAGCGCGTCGCCACGCGCCGCAGAGGGAAAAGGCCAGGAGGACTCAGCTGTCAGCGTGAGAGACAGGCTGACCGACAGCCGTTTAAATGCTAATGTGCTAGCAGGGGCGACCCGCGTAGCGCCGAACGCTAACAGTCAGCGCCGCCACGGTTTGGCGGTTTGGAGTTACATTGCAGGGGGTCGAGGGTCACAACGGCTGTTTTGAATATTGGATTAGATATGGTGTTGGGTAACATATTGTTACATGATGTTAACGCTGCTCTGTTCCCCCTCCCGCATAGAAAAATCTGTCACTCTGATGTTATCACTGCCTGTGTTACTATTTAGTCATTTAGTAGATGCTTTCATCCAAAGCAATTTACAGTGCATTATTTTTGTAGATACATGTCATTAAGGAGCAGGTAGGGGTCAGGGCATCTTGCTCAGGGATGCTTACAGGCAACTTTTCATTTTCATTTCATTTTCATATTCTATTCCCTGTTATGTTGCGTTTAACACGAGACTGTTAAAACACGTGCAATAATCTTCAGAAATATTGTTGTTTTGTTCATCTCGCATTTGTCAGTTGATCCCTGTTCGCCCAGATGGGGCCTTCCTCAGTGGCTGTAGGGGAGGTGTAGCATGCTGCTGTTCCCAGCTGCTCTGCTTCACTGTACATGCCTGGTCACATGACTGCATGTGGTCACACGACTGCCGTGATGTCACGGCTCGTGGGCGCAACACGCTACATGGACGAGTTTCATCGGCAGATTAACGACTCGGCTATCAGAGCACAGCTGTTCAAGTCTCAGAAACATATGTTGATCGCGATACGTGTGAAACCAAGTGTATTATGGATTCATTTATTTCTATATGGCTTACCACTTTGTTCAGTGCGTATATACGGATATATATGGCGCATATAAATGTCGCGCGCCACACTGCACTCTCATTTGCATAAAGTTAACCAATGTTCAACTTTTGTCCCGCCCCTTCTGAAGTACCAGCAAGTCGACGCCCCAATGTGAGGTGGGGAGTTGTCCCATGATCCTTTGCGTCATGCGTTGAGGCATTCAATACAAAGCGAATGGGGCGTGTTGCCTGCAAATTGTGGGGCTGTACAGTAACTGTGCAAGAAGGTAGCCATACTGTCAGGGAGGGCCTCATACCCCTCTGCCACACACTGCTGTTAAATATCACCATGGAGGTAGAACAGGCAGAAAGATAGATTGACAGACAGACAGATTGGCAGGAATAGGCAGACAGGCGGTAAAGAAAGGCTCATAGACAGTACAGACAGACAGGTATTTCATACAGACAGAGTTACCGACGGACAGATAGAGAGGCAGGACATATAAATAGACAGGTAGACAGGTAGACAGCCAGGGAGAACAGATAGCCAGGTTGACAGACAGACAGTTACTCCGGGTGTACCTGCTATCTTGGTGGCGATGCGTGTGGTGACTGGTGGGCCGAAGCCCTTGTTGGTAGAGGCCTTGAGGGTGAAGAAGTAGGTGGTCCCGGGGTAGAGCCCCACAAACAGGTGCTGGGTCTCATTCCTCAGCTTGAAGACCCGGCCCCGCTGGGTGGTGAGGTCCACGCTTGGGTCCAGAGAGCTCAGCGCCTTGTAGGTGATCTTGGAGGAGACCACATGTTCACTAGTCATTTAACAGACACTTTAATGTTTGTTCCTATGTTTGTTGTAATTACAGAAGTTCCCGTACTGATTCTATTTCATGTGGCTCAACCAACTATTGCACTAACAATGTAGGTGATCGATCGTCTACATTGCGAACCACTCCTTCCTGTCTCTCTCCACTGTCCTGTCAGTACAAAAAAATAATTTGATTCAAGGTACAAACACAACACATACTTTTCCTAATCTCGCCTTCAGTCAGTTAACACCTAGTAGTGACTACACCTGAAGTAATGAGTAATCTATCCAATCTGAGTAATCTATCTGGATTACAGATAAATTAAACATGACACATGACACCGACGTAAACCCAGCAGTATGTGGCCAGTTGCCGTGAAGATGTCCCGCCCTGAGCAACCTCAACATATCGACCTTCGGCTGTAAAACTGTCAAACTGCGTTAACAGTCGACCGCGGAGACAAATGAGTCTGGGAGGAAGTGGAATGTGACTGAAGTGTTTTTCTCCCAGGGTACTAAACAGACGACACACGGGCGGTGACACCGGAGCGAGCTGAGGTCCTCACTTTACAGCTCAACTGTTAAACACACCATCCATGTCTGTCAGCACGTTGCCCCCCGGAAACACTCTCCACTCTGTCACCGTCAATTAGACATATAAGGCCCACACACACACGCAACACCGATGGACGGACACACGCAGGCGTGCGCACGCGCACACACACACACACACACACACACACACACGCACACACACACACACACACACACTCTTTATTGTACACACACACACACAGACTCTCTCTTTTCACTCTCTCGCTCACTCTCTGGGTCAACTTTTGACCTGAATGACAGCTTCTGAAAACTATTGACCCTTTAGTTAAATGCATCATGGGTATTTAACCGGGAGGATATTCTGTTAACACTTCGACTACACGTTGGTGGGACTGGCGGGGGAGAGAGAGAGAGAGAGAGAGAGAGAGAGAGAGAGTACGAGTGTATTTGTGTATGTGTCTGTTGGCATGAGTCAATGCATGTGTGTGTGTGTGTGTGTGTGTGTGTGTGTGTGTGTGTGTGTGTGTGTGTGCGTGTGTGTGTGTGTGTGTGAGAGAGTGCATGCATGCGTGCATAACGTGTACTGAGTGTGTCTGACTGACGACT